AGAGACGGAGACAGACAGAGAGAGACAGACAGAGAGACAGAGAGAGACAGACAGAGAGACAGAGAGACGGAGACAGACAGACAGACAGACAGACAGACAGACAGAGACAGAGACAGACAGAGAGAGAGAGAGAGAGGAGGCATGATGAAGTGCAGCCTCACAGAAATAAATCTCAGTGCCGTTTTTAATGCAAAGGAGCTGTCTGACAGGAACGAATGGCTTTCTCCTCTTTTGGCCTTTCGCTCTTCATCAGCATTTGAGGGAAAGTGCTGAAATCAAATGTGTCACTTTCTCCACCACCTGGCTGCCGCCGCATGAAAGGCTCTCGGATTGTTCTCCCCTTGCATGAATTCAATCAGTGCTTTAATTCCTGACTGTAACAGGGATGCATCGTATATATATGCATGTATGAAATGGGCAGTAAATCACAAGCCATTCCAAATCCTACCCGGCACACATGTACCACAAGAGCACAATGTGCATCAGCGACAGAGTGACCCAGCTACCTTCGACACAGCGCTCACAATCATATTCAAATTAAGTTGTTAAGTGAAAGTTTGAAAACCTGCGTCCAAATATTCCCCTTTGCTTTTGGACGGAGTAATTGCAGGTTTCTTTTAATGCAGAGGGAACAGGAAGTGATGACTCCAATCGTAATCCCTGCAATTTTCTTTGACAGTCCTCACCAAAGAGCCAAAAGTTAAAGGCAATTAATACATTCACAATAATGAATCACGCACGTCGAGCACGGCGGCCTGTGTTTGCAGAATGCCGCTCAACCCGGGAAATGTACTGATGGTGCTGGCAACGCGGGGTTTGTGAGGCCCAAAGCAGTGAGGCGTTTACTCAAAATGGTAACACGCATCCAGAGAATTAAGAATGTGAAACTCTCCACTGGTTACTATAGAGAAATACCACAACGTGTTATAGTTGCTCAAGCAGCACATAAGCCCTGGTAATAGAGTTTGTTTTTGTCATTTCTAATAAATAAAGCAAAAAGCAAAAACAAATTGATAGCTTTTGGAGAGGTCACATGGGATTACAGTGCCTTGGCCTTTTTCCTAGTATTTATTTTATTGTTACATACAATAGTCAAAATTGGTAAAGTGATGAAAAAGAAAAGAAAAGTGATGTGTGTGTGTATTCACCTCTTTTGCTATGAAGACCCTAAAAAAGATCTGGTGCTACCAATTACCTTCAGAAGTCACATCATTATTTAAATAAAGTGTCACGAAAATCTGTCATATGATCTATATGAATATGGCCCCACAACAAACGTGCCGAGAGAGGAAGCAATTCTCGAGACAAAGAGACCACAGACAACCCTGAAGGAGCTGGAAAGAAAACACGTTGCCCCACAACCACACGCCTTTTGGCCAACCAGGTCCAAATGCAGGCGAATACTTTTACAAGGCTCTGAAACAAGGTTTGTCATTTGATCACAGAGTATGGTTGTGATGGACTCTACCAGGGGCCCACCTATAAAAGCAGCCATCTACAAGCAATCTTATATTATCAATAATTCATAATGCCCTTCAAGTAGCTGGAATATATGCCAGGCTTGTATACTGGCCTGTTGTCTTCTACAGTTAACCACAGGTTTTTATAAAAATACAATTTGATCAATGATGATAGTAGACTACATCTTTGGGAAATTGTCAGATAGTAACTGAGTGATTGAGAAACATCATCATCAATAAATGACTGATATTCGTCAGTTCGCACATTTAAAGGTTCTCTCTACTGAAGTCAGAGCATATCTATTAGCTCCACACAGCTATCGACATGGGCTAGAAGCTAACGGTGCTAACAGCACAAACGACAGCAACAGTGTATATGAGAAGCTGACAAAGTCACCCATTGGTTTGTGGATGGAGGTGACAGAGAGACGGAAACACTGTATACGACAATTTTAAGCAACAAAAAAGGTTGCAATTAACTTCCATGAACTGAAAACACACAAGGTTTTAAGTTGTAAGACATAAACACAGACAACTCCCTGACCGGACAACGCCTCAGTAGCGAATCACAAGGTAGCCCCGCCCTAAAGTATACTCTGCTTTATGGTCTATTTGACTCTAAATGGACCATAATCTACTAAATGAACATCATGATGTATTGAAGAAGACTTGAAACTAGAGACTGAGACCATAAACTCATGTTTACAATGTTTACTGAGGTAATAAATCAAGAGACAAGTAGAGTCATTTTCTCATAGACTTCTATACAATCAGACTTCTTTTTGCAACCGGAGGAGTCGCCCCCTGCTGGTCAGTAGAGAGAATGCAAGTTTAAGGCACTTTAGCATTGGCTTCACTTTACAGACCAGGAGGTTGCAGCATGACCAAAAATGCACTTGCATTTGTATATATAACTTCTAGGGAGAGTGACTTCATTCTCTGCTCAGGTAGACATTACTCCACTATGAACCGAGTGAAAAATTGAGACATCTGTTGCTGTGGTGGAGGCCAACATTGTTTGCTGGTCATAGTTCTGGTGTGACCAATACAAGCACATTTGTCACGAGCCAGCATGACACAGAGGCAGTGGAGGCTAGCCAGCTCAGAGAGCGGAAACATTCTGGGAATTCAAAACGAAGTGGCTGGTTATGAAAGTCGCCCGCAAGTATGATGTTTCTGTTCGATAGTGAGACCGAGGCGGCAGCGCTGGAGTCAGGGCTCCGGAGTTTGGCTTCTATAACTGGGGCCTCAGAGGGAACCTGCCAATAGATGATGCAGTTAGGTGAACCAGAGGAATGGGCCATGGGGTTTGTGTGTGCCAACAAGAGAGAGAAGCAACATAGAACGGGAGAAGATTACGTGAGGTGAGGGGAATGAAGCCATTTGTTGAAAAGGAGCGACACACAAGGTGAAATATTGAACAGTACAGAGAAAGTGCCATGTAGAGTTTTTATTCTCTGCTTTTAAATACAGTTAAATAAACAGCATTTTTCATTTTGACCTCCCAACTTTGCGTGGGAAGTGGCCTCAGCATCTTTCGATTCCCATTTTGTGTGTCGGTTTACAAATGATCTCGTGAGGGTGCTTCCCGCACAGCATATCTTAGCATCCATAGAAAGTGTGTCGTAAAGAAGGAATAAAAGTTTTGTCGAGCTTTGGATTTGTCCACATGCAGAAGTAAGGTGCATGTGGCTGCAGGAAGAGACAATCTGCATCGAAGCCTCTGGAGTGTGGCGTCTATTTTTCTAGCATTTCCAAAGCCAAAAACACGAGAGCAAAAAGTGTAAAGAATGGATTAAACAGAGTGTTTATCTTTGCTCCACTGTAAGCTGCAAATAGCTTAGCATAGCTAACAGCATGTCTGGCTGAGTAGTTTACTTACTTAAATCTAATGTCCACTGAGCACATCACTAACTAATTACATTAGTTTACATTACAGTCATTTAGCAGACGTTTTTATCCAAAGCGACTTACAATTCAGAGTCTATCACAGCTACGGGAGCAATTTTTTGGGGTTAAGTGTCTTGCTCAAGGACACATCGACATGCGACTAGCGGAGCCGGAGTTCAAACCGCAGACCCTCTGATTGAAAGACGGCCTTGCTATCCACTTAGCCACAATTGCCCCTAGTTTATGGGGTTACAGGTTACTATGTTATTTTATTTAGCCAGTTTAATGGTCTGCTTCCAAAGAAGGAGTGAGAGACGCTGCTCAGTTTTGTTTCTTTTGTTTCTGTCGAGTTTGAATGAAGTGTGTTTTACTATGAGGCAATTAAGCTAGTCTCATTTCAGTGAAAGAGAGAAACTTCAATTCAGAAGGTGTACGGTTGTATTGCTGTGTATGTTTTTCTTGTCTATTTATTAGACTAAAATAGCTGAGAGAGCTTGTTGAACGTAGTGACTTTGTCACCAAGCTGAAACTAGGGGGCTCACACACACACATCGTCACGAATATAACGGCAATTCTCAGACAATTTTAACATTATTGCCAAACTAGGAATGTCACGAGAACCGATGTGTCGGTACCCGGTTGATACCGAAATTCTGAAAACGTGATGGCCCTCGTTTCTCTTCAGAGCTGCAGGTACCGTTAATACTGGCCGGGGGGCTCGAGACTTAAATCTGAAAGGACGCAGTAAAGTTGTTATCGATGCCTGTCTTTTTCCTGATAACGCCACATTTTGAACAACAAATCTGTGTTGAAATCATGGAGGAAAGCTAGTTAGCGTTAGCACCCAGTGGGCAGCACAGTCCTGCGGAGCTAACAGCTAACGTTAACGGAGGTTACATTGAGTTTCATTATGATGTGTTCAAGCTCTATTCAGTAAAACTTAGTATTAGGTGAAGCTAAATTATGAATGTGCTCAAATGTAATCTTGTAAAATGTAGTTTTTGGCAAGAAACCTGAAAAAATCCCTGGCCATCAGGGGGCGACTCCTCTGGTTGAAAAAAGAAGTCTGGTTGCATAGAAGTCTATGAGAAAATGACTCTACTTCTCACTTGATTTATTCCCTCAGTAAACATTGTAAACATGAGTTTATGGTCTCAATATCTAGTTTCAAGTCTTCTTCAATACATCATGATGTTCATTTAGTAAATTATGGTCCATTTAGAGTCAAATAGACCATAAAGCAGGGTGTGTTGTGATTGACAGGTCGCTATCAGAGTCGTATACGGCGTCTCTCCTCCACAGTCCAAATATGGTCACTTCTGTTCACTGGTTGCATTAAAACAAGATGGCGACGGCCAAAATGCTAAACTCAAGGCTTCAAAACAGCAGTCCACAAACTAATGGGTAAAGTCACGAAGACTACGTCCACTTCTTATATACACAGTGTATGATTATAACCTTTTTAACTTCCTAACACTAGCTCTACATGCTATTGTTTTGTTTTAGTTTTTTACATGTAAGCTTAGCAGTCAAACAGTGTTTTGCTGGAACGAATAAAGTCTGGTCTTACATTGTTTCTTGCAATACAAGACAAATGCTGTTTCGTTCTTGCCATGTCTTCCCCTGGCAACTTTTTGTCTGAGAAGCTGGGCTTTAGCCTCAGTCCAGCCATCATTAAAACCCCTTTCACAAGATTGTCCCTTCAAAACAAGTCAGACCAAGGGGGACAGGCTTAGCAAGTGGTCTGTTGCATTCTGGTGTTGCCTTGTGTAGTACAAATTAACTACGAAACACGTACAGCTGTTCAGCAGTAACTCGCTGTTCAGGCAGGCAGTGTGTGCCGGGGCATAAGCGCTGTGGGATGGTGCTCGGAGCGGGGGGCTGATCAAGGCTAAAGTTGACCACTCAGACACTTGGTGAAAAGCATTTGAGAGGCACTTTCCGGGATTCCAAGCAGCAGAGAGGAAAAGTACATTTGAAGAGTCCCCGTCTGGGAATCAAACCGCTGCGGCTACTTAGGAATGTGTGCGAATCTCAGATAACTGCGTGTACACGATCCTGCAATTACATGAGCTCACCTCATAGTGCTGAAAGCCAGGAGGCCGTAGAACAGGGTATGCAACAGATTGTAGGCCACATCTGGACGAAAGGCCGCCGCTCGCGCCTCTCCGCCTCCTTTCCTCTCCTCGGCTGAACCTCCTTTAGGTCTGCAAACAGAAAACAAAACAAAAAAGGGCAGCGAGACAAAAGACAGCAGTGATACATAAAACATTACAGCCAGATGGAGGGTAGGTGGGTGGAATTATTCAGATTATTCAGATTTCAGTAGCTGTTCTTCAGATTGCATTAGCCGCTTACGCACAAGCGGACACGCAGTGATGCACACCCACGAGCGTTTGTGTCTGCGGGAGTCAGCACACAGACAAACAGTGGAAAAAAAGGCCCGAGGGCAGCGGTGTCACTCCCACGATTTGGCCTCCCGCACCGAATCAGACGGACAGCGGCTCCCATTTGAATGCAAATTCAATCTGAAGCTCTTGCTTCTACGTGAGGTCGGGTAAACTGGATTAAATGAATCCCCCGAATTGGCAAACAGCCCTGTGTTCTACGAGGTTAGTATTCCAGCCCTCTAACAGGCAGAGGGCGAGTTGATATGCTAATGTCATTAGCTCAGCGCGGGCCCTCACCTTGCACCGCAGGCAAATGGAGCTGGTAGAATTTTTTTTTTCCGGAGCTCAATGCAACGCCGCCATTTCTGAATCTGCAGCATTGTCCGGCGGAGACTTGGGGCTGGTGACTACCACTGAGACTGGGATTCTGCCTCCGATTGTTAATGTTGTGTTTGAGGGAATTTGAACAAACTGCATGTTAGTTCTTATTAATTATAGATTTTTTTTTTTTTTTTTTTTTTTTTAAATCTTGTCACTCAAATTAAAATGAGGTCAAAGGGAGATGGTTGAGAAGTATTAACATAATATTATTTACATAATATTTCCCTATAATAAGTCAAATATGCATATATTTACATGCCACCTGATAATAACCCTTAATAGAGCGGAGGTTGAGAGAAAACGTGTACACCATGTGTGTTACCGTGTATCTCCTCCGACACAGAGCTGCCAAATGCCACCTTCCGTGTGATGGAAAAAAGTTGCTTCCACGTTACACCCCCCCCCCCCCCCCCCCCCCCCCCC